CATGCTTTCTTGTTTGAATCTAATTGGTTGTATTCATTGTCACTTCATAAATCTTTTTTATTTATCATAAAAAAATGGAATGTACTTGATTGTCTTATGTGTCACACCATTGAAAGCTATATTTATGCTTTTTTTTGTTGTTGGAATTTAACGGGTTGTATCCCATGCGACCTTATGAATTATTCCAATCCCATATGAATACATACCGCAATGCAATTAAAAACATTTAAATGTCATTGTGTTATATCAATCAAAATTTTAGCCAAAAACATATCTTTTCATTTTACTCATTTTTATTGAATTTTAAAAGTTTCAGATAAAAGTTTAAGACTTGTATCTTTTTTTTTTCATTCTTACAAAATCAAAACCTTTTAAAAGTTTAAGATAAAATGTGTAGTAATTAAAACATAAGCGAGATACCAAATTATAGAATATGTGTAGACATGCTGCGATATTCAAATTATAGAATATGAATAGATCACAAATTTTACAACCAAAACTTTTGGCAAAAATCTGTTTTCAAAAATACGGCACAACAGAAAAATGACCCGGATCGAATCGTCTAACCGAACCTACTATCGAAAATCAATATATGTATTGCAAATCAAATGAAATCATAACGGATGTAAATGTTCAACAACGATCGAGCTACGAATCAATTAAATGCAATGCTAATCGTAACTCGTATATCCAATGAACCAAAACACAATTAAAATACGCACAAACAATTTATCGAACACTTGGTGTGCAATCGATAGCAATTGGAAATTTAATTTATTTAGTTGATGTTAAAAGGCAATCACAATCAAAGTGATTATGATTTATCAACATCAACACTTTTAAAAGATAATAGAAAACAATTTTCAATCGAATTGATCAAACAACGATGAACTCGATAAATTGCGAAATCAATAATAAACGTGATAAAGAGATGGAGAGAGAGAGAGAGACCAAGATTTATTTAGGCAGTCCCCCAATCAAACTCACTATGGGTACGTCCGCCCTCAATTCAAAATCGAATTGAAATATTGCTATTAACCTTTTCTTTACAAAATCGTTTATACAAGAGTGGAAGAATACAAACCCCAAAAACCCTATTGTTTTGTGTTGATTCTTCCACCTCCAACCCTTGATCAAAAGCTTGATCAAGTGACCAAAAAATGCAGCTACAATCCTTCGATTATCCCGAGCGCGCAACTTGTTGAAACCCCAAGATTTCCGAACACAATTCACCGTCTCGCGCTACTCCCTTGCAAGGAAACCATATTGCCCCAAGGCCTTCACTCGATCGAATCTATGTTGACGTGATCTTATCCAAAACATTCAAATCCACCCAACCTTGAAGGGAAACCCCATCTTGGTTTTCTTATTTGAAACATAAAAAGTTCCCAACCCAATATTCTTAGTTACACCAAACCTAATTGGAAGTTATCAACCCTAATCTAGATGGTCACCAAATCAAAAAATGATCATGTGTAGTTCAATTGTGTGTATGCATAGAAGAAGGGATGGATATAATGGGCAACTTTGTAATCTGGTTTCTTTTAGGTTTTATTCACTAGGAACTTTTCCTAGAAAAAGATGCGTGTATAAGTATATATGTGTATATTAAAAAAAATCAAAGAGGATGCAAGAAAAATAAGATGTAAAAAGAATTTTTCAAGTTTTAAGTTGCATAGGTCGGCCTAAGAAGGTGTTCAAACCGTCCTGTACGGCGACCTGAGAGACGACCTGTGGGTAGAGCCTGCAGGCTTCGTTCTTGGAGCATGGGAGCCGACCTGAAATCTGGATGTGCCAAACTGTATTGAAGCAAAGGCTTCCATAGGTCGACCTGATCATGTATAGGTTGGCCTATGCAGTTATGTTGACACACAAACATGATTTTTGATGTGTGTGACATGCCTAAGACCTATCAAACTTGTTCAAAGACTCTTTTTATGCGTCCTAAGGCTATAGGGACAAATGCACATCTAAGTGTAGGTTGATACCGTCCAATATACAAAAGCTCTACGATATACTACCTTGTTCCTTGTTTGACATCAATCAAAACCCGGTTAAATTTGTAGTTAACACTCACTTGCAGTAGCATGTTAGTTTCATAAAATTATGCTAAATCCATAATCAGTAGATACCAATATCAGTAGTTAAGATGTGCAAAAAAACAAAAGGTAACATGCCAATAGTGATTTTGCATACAGAAAACCAGGATCTATTAAGCATTATCCTACATTGTGCCACGACAAGCTTTCAAAGATCCGTAAACTTGACCGTCATAAATCGTCATATGGCATAGTCTCACATTTTAGACATGCTTTCAAAGCTGCATTCTCACTATATGCTCCCGACACTATCTGTATCGAACAAATGATTTGTTAGCAACACAATATACATTGTCATGGATATTTCAGCTGAATAGTAAATAGAAACGCTTACGCATGATACCTGATAGCCCACGTGCACCTTTGATTCATCACTTGCAGAAGAAGAATCATCAATTGACGTTAATGACTCTGCAACAGTTTCAGACACAAATGTTAATAATTACATCACAATCATAGATAGTCTATGCCTTTTTGCAAACTCTTAGAAATGACAACTTCAACCGTAAAAACCATTTCCTCTAAGTTCAATTAGTGATCTATAAGTTGACAATTGATAATCAATGATGACATTATAAAGCAAAGAGATAACACATGAAAGAAGAAGGGTTTCATCAATCAATATATCCTTCCCTAACATGTCACAAAAAAAAATAGAAATACAAGCATAATCAATTAATTTCGCATAAACTGGAATGAAGTATAACATTACAAACAGAGAGATAATGATGTAATGGGGTATCATCCATGTCTAGGGATAGCAACGCACATCATGTTCTCGAAATCCCACATTTGACGTGTGATTTCGGGTACACTCAATACCCTGTACTGTTGAGAACCTCTTGAAATCAAAGGTGCAAACCCGAACATGAAAATATGGAGATGAGGGAACGAAATTAGATTTACGACAAACTTTCGAAGATCAAAGTTAAGATAAACATAAATCTTATTGAACAAATGCAACAAAACTGTAAAAATATAGATTACAAAGTTGTATGAAAATAAATTTCTTACAACTTGGGGTTGTGAGTTTGAGGGTATGGAAGCAAATATCATACAAGACTTCATTATCAAGAACCATGCGTTCATTTGCGTTTTCAACAAGCTGGTGAACAGAGAGAGTAGCGTTGTAGGGTTCTACCACCGTGTCAAAGACCTTAGGAGAAGGGAAAACGGAGAAAGTAAGCATCATCCTATCAGGGTACCCATTTCAGATCCAGTTCCTCCACCTAGTGAATCACATACTTGAAAACCTGCACACACCCATTTCATAATCATCCTCAAAACAAAAATAGCTTACCAGTAAACAATAATCAACATGAACACCCATTTTGACGCCGACATCACTCGAAACGAAAAATCTAGCCGGTTCATTAGGAAGCCCCTGAGATGAGGAATACAAATATGGATTTGGTATTTTCATTTGAGGAAGTGGTAGCCGGAGACATGGTTGAGCAAGGGACGACGACACTAGGGTTTCAAGGGAAAAGAGAGAAAATGGAATAAACAAACTGAGAATTGAAGTTGAGATGAGAGAGAGAGAGAGAGAGAGAGAGAGAGAGAGAGAGAGAGAGAGAGAGAGAGAGAGAGAGAGAGAGAGAGAGAGAGAGAGAGAGAGGCGTGAAGCAGAGAAAGGAATATATAAAAATTTGAAAAATGGAGTAGGCGCTCTATTACTGTCGCCACATGGTTATTTGGTGACTTTTCATTAGTGGAAAAAAAGTATTGGTCAATTATAAATAAGGGTATGATTTAACTTAATTAATTTTTTATTAGAATGATAGATTTGATAGTGCTTATGCATGTTATAGTCTTAGTTAAATAATTGATTATAATTGGTTTGAATTATCTATTAAATGTACCTATGACTATTTCCTTAGAAATTTGACTGATTTTCTTAATGAAAAAAATATTATTAATAATAAGTCAGAGAAACATTAGGCACAAGTAGTATCAAACTAACAAAGTAAAAACAAAAAGTAACTATTACAACAAAAATAAAAGCAAAACACATAGTAAAAACAACCTCGAAATTAACCAAATAGAAAAGAAGTCAACGTCCGAGAAACACTGCACAACAGAACACCACCCAACAAGAAATTAACCAAATAGAAGAGAAGTCAACGTCCGAGAAACACTGCACAACAGAACACCACCCAACAAGAATCAGACTAGAGTTCATAGATTATACTCATTTACGCCAAAACAAACTCGCGCAGATTAGACTCATTTACGCCAAAACAAACTCGCGTAGATTAGACCCTCTAACGCCAAAACAAGCTCGCGCAGAACACCAAAAAACCATTAAACATCATAGGGAGAGACCAAAACTCTTGATCCGCTATTGATTTAGACACAAGATAGGTTACCAACTATATTTTATTTTTTTTAAAAAACAAACAAGTAGTCTATTTATTTATTTATTTTGAATAAATAGTCTAATAGTTGAAATTCACCTTACTAAAGATAAACAAATGAGATGTCATATATTTGAACTGACACTCATATACTTAATGTACTTACACAACTATCGTATCTTAACGGGACAACATGTAATTTAGAAGATATCTTAATCATACATACATTAGGTATAATATTAAATTATTTGTTATTTTTTTTATCACATTGAATGGTAGAGCTACCAGAAAATCTACAACTTGACTGTGCAATATATTATGAAACCGCCAAGGGTAGAGAAGGTGCTAGCTGTGTGCCCATTAAATAAGGGCAAACAACCTTATGTATTTTATTTAATGCCATCACTCTCACTCTCTCTTTCCTTTCTCCTTCTATATATTTACCTCAATTTTCAACACCACAACACTCATTCATCTACCTAGCTTAGTAGTTACTATATTTTAAGTATTTATTTAGTTATAGTAGTAATAGTGAAAGAAAAATATGGAAGGTTTTGAAGAAGAAATTACTGAGCCAGTGAGTCCTACTGGACAATATTTGAATAGCTCTTGTTTGTGTATATACATTTTAGGTGTTTTAGAATTTGAATTTTCAATTGATGATTGCCAAACTCTTTCTTTGCTTCAAGATGTCTTCCTTCCTATCAACACACGTTTCTCCTCTATCATGGTAATTTTTATTTTTTTATTTTTATTTATTTATATAGTAATCATGTTTATTAGTACTAACTAGTAGTATTAACTTCACTTACATTTTTTTTTTTTTTGAATTTTTATTTTTATTTCTCTTTATATATTTGAATATTGGTTATGTGTGTGCTTTGCTTATTTTTTTAATTAATTAAGAAATTATGAACTTTAGAGTACTTTGTTTTCAAGATCTGTATGTACTCATGCATAATTTTAGAATGTTTGTTAAGGTTATGTCATAATCAAATTGCTTTAAATATTATACTCCATCCGTATCAATAGTATATAAGGAAAAAAAAACTTGTTAAAATTAATAAAACATAATAGTTTAGATTAAATTTTTTATATTTTTTAAAATAAGTTTTATAAAAAAACATAAAACATTAATTATTTTTCTTATTATATTTGAAGCAAGTGAAATACGTTTTTTTATAAACCTAGAGGATTTAGTATATCATATTAAACTTTTATAAATTTACTTATTTTTTTCATCAATAAAATTTACTTATTTACTTAGTTTTCAGGATTTTTCTTATCTCCTTTAGCTTGTATGGTGTAATTTTTGTGGTTCAGACTTTTTTTTTCTGTAGTTGTAGTTTTCTTTTCCTTCTCTTGTAGTGGGTTCTAGTATTCGGTTTAATTTTATTTTGATTATAAAAAAAAAATTATATTTTTTATTATTTATTATATAATTGTATAACTAATTTATATATAAATCAAATATATCTATTATATAATAAAAAAAATCAACTATACATATAATATTGACCTATTAAAATTTGAGTTAATACTGTTTCTTTAACCAATATAATAAAGTTACTCACGAAATGAATGTGTAACAGTTATTGTTTCATTGAAGAGATTGTCACATGTGAAGGTAACATATGAGACAACTTTTTTTGACAGCTCACTAATTATTTAATATATTTATAAAATATTTTTTTCTTCTTACAATAAAAATAAAACCGGAGGAAATAATATATATTATTAAAAAAAAAAAAGAGATAATATATATTATTAAACAAAACATAGAACTTTGCATGAGATCATTATATATATGCATGTGTTTTATTTTAGAAATAAAATTTGTGTATATTTGAATGTGTCTAATTAGAACAATTTTATTTTGGAAAAACTAATGATGAAGTGTTTGATTGAATAGATCAAGGACCCATTCAGTGGAGAGAAAAAATGGAAGAAAGTTGAAGTTAATTTGGAGGACCATATTAATGTTCCTAAATTTTCAAGTGAAAAATTATGCAACTCATTCTATGATGAATCTCTTGATGAATATATGTCCAAAATATCAATGGAACATTTGCCACAAGATAGACCACTTTGGGAAATTCACATTATTAAATATCCAACAAAAAATGCAGCTGCAACTGTAGTATTCAAACTTCATCATGCTCTTGGAGATGGTTACTCTCTAATGGGAGCTCTTCTTTCATGTCTAGAGAGAGCTGATAACCCTTCTCTTCCATTCACATTACCGTCGAGTCAAAGACCTAAATCGGTTTTTAGTACTAAAGCAATTATCAAGAGATTTCCTTCTGTTTTTTCCTCCACGCTGAGGTCGATGATGGATTTTGGATGGAGTATCGTGAAAAGCAGTATGATTGAAGATGATTTGACGCCGATTAGGTCACGTGCTGATGATGTCAAACTTCGAAAAATTACTATCTCCAGTGTTTCTTTCACTATGGAGCGTATCAAAGAAGTGAAATCACGACTTGACGTGGTAGGTCTAATAACTCAAAATAAAAATTTTAATTTATTTATTTTATTCGAATATGTGTCTCTGAGTTTGATGTCTCAGTCCTGACTTATGAAAAATATTTTTAATTTATCTCGATTGATGATTTTCTTGCAGAGTATAAATGATGTGATTGCGGGTTTAATTTTCTTTGGAATTCGATTATACATGTTAGAAGTGAATCAAGAATCAAGAAAAGCAAGCTCAACAGCATTGGTGTTAATGAACACAAGAAATATCAAAGGTTATAAATCTGTGAAAGAAATGGTTAGCAAGAACAATAATGGTGCTGCATGGGGAAATCAATTTTCATTTTTACATATTCCAATTCCAGAGTTAAATGATCCAAAATTTGAAAACCCACTTGAATTTATTTGGGAAGCTCATAAAGAAATTAACAGGAAGAAAAATTCTTTGGTTACTCCTCTTACTGGCATGCTCTTAAAAATGGTGAAAACTATCAGAGGCCCTGAGGTGAGTAGTTATTCTTAATTAAATGTCATTATTATTTTAATTAGTCTTTAAAACATAATTAAGAAAAAATAATTATTTTATTTTTGTTAACAAAATATTTATTAATTTTTTGGAATTAATAATAATTATTAGAAACTTACCCATAACCTATCAGTATCGACTTCTGTAAATTGAGATAAAATTTAAAAACAATTTTTTTATTTTTTTTTTATTTTTTAGTTTAGTGTAGTTGAATAATAATCCATATTTTTTTTACTTGAAAAACTTGTAAATTAATAAATGGAATATTCAGGCTGCAGCTAGATATGTACACAGTACTTTAAGAAACTCAAGTACAACAATTTCAAACATAATTGGTCCTGTGGAACAGATGGCTTTGTCTAATCATCCAGTCAAAGGTTTATACTTCATGGTTGTTGGTCCACCAGAGGTATGTGTTAAATCTTCTTTTTTATTTTCTTTTACTATAAATAAATAAAAAACTAAATCACTTAAACTTTATCTTTAGTCTTTAAAGGTTAATTTTTAAGATTTTGGTTTTGGTTTTTGTTTGTGGAATTGCAGAGTTTGACAGTAACAATTATGAGCTACATGGGAAAGCTAAGAATTGCATTTGGTTCTGAGAAAGATTTCATTGACAAACACAAAATGAAGTGTTGTATGGAGAAATCTCTTGAGATGATAATTAAAGCATCAACAAAGACTTCTGCATAAAAAAGACTTTATCATGTTTCTAACTTTTTGTTTGTTCAAATATGGTTTGTAATGATTATGTATTAGTTAGTATTTTTTTTCATGTGGTGTGGAATTTTTGTTGAACATGAGAAGTTCAAGATTCTATGAGAGTATTCAAGTTTTTTTCTCTCTTTTTTCAAATGGTGTTTGCAATTGGACTAGGTCCAAATATTGAATATTGTTTTGGGCTAAGTTTTCTGCATATTCATTGTTCTTTTCTTGAAAACACACAATTAACATATCATTTTTTCTTAATTAAGTTTTAATAAGAGTTAGATTTTCACTTAAGAGAAGAGATGATTTGGTCGGAGAAATAGGAAAACATTGTTCATAGTCTCTAAAAATTTTTCGCAACCATGTCGAAACTATGATCAACAAATAGTTGTCTAAATTCCTCCTTCGTGTCTCAATCAATTACTTCACCTCCTCCGATCAGGACCTTTTTTTAATAACAAAATATTTTCTCAATGCGATAAATTAACTTCCTCAACATCCGTCAAAGATAATTATGTGGGAATTATGTTGGAATTGATTTATTCAAATACATCCTTCATGATAGAACAATCAAGTTAAAAAAGGATTACGCTGTTTTAAGTTGATGTCTTGTGTGACAAACTTTCTATTTTGTTTTGAAATCAATAAAAAAATAAGTGTTGCTTCTGTTCAAAATCTTATGATTTCTACTCTTAAAGATATCAAGAGCAAAACTCTAAATTAATTTCTATGAGTCGATAACCCATCAACTCATATCTCTTAAACCTATACCAGAATTCAATCAGAGAATAAAAGCGGAATTTTACATGTGTGTCATTGGGATTTCCTCAAGCTTGCGGCTTCCGATTGTAGATTTCTTTAAAATTCTGTAAATCTCTTATATTGGGGATGAAGAGAGAATCTCGATGAATATTATTTTCCTATCTATTTTATAAATGGAGACCATAACCCACATAAATAATCCTAGGGTTATTTCTTAATTTTCAATATTCTAATTTGGACCCTCATCGATCCTAAGACCTTAATTGTTACATTTATGACACAAAATTCTAAAAATCTCTAACTAGTCACATATGTAACTTTACACACATGTTAGACTTTATGAGATCAAAATTTGTCATTATATATATTTCACACATATCCAAATAACCTCGTCCATTAGTCATGTCGGTACGCATAGTCAAAGTGATTTTCGTTATATCAATCATAACTAAAACCATCCATGATCACTAATACTGACATAATTAAATGACATAGATTCATCATGAGGTATGTAGCATGAAAATAACATGAATTTGGTATGTTCATGTTAATTTTCAATTGGTCCTATTTTATTTTTATGAGATCACTTAATAACCTTATTGTATAAAGTGCAACTAGCTGAATATTAAACTTTATTAATTGAAAAAAAAACATCCAAAACAAGAGTATGCATATTTAATACTAAACATAGAACACAAAATTCATACATGACTAACTTCCACTAAAAAAAAGATTCCTCAAACCATAAAAAACCCATTGAGCAGTGTGCCCAAGAAAGGCCTTGGGTGGAAGACCTTTTATAAGAGGATTTGCTATCATGGGGTTGGCCCCTAAATGTTCAATGAAAATCAGTCCACTTTGTACCCTTTTCTTAACAGCTAAGAATTTGATGTCAATATATTTTGACTTTGTCGAACTCCTATTATGATTGGAATATAGGACAGGTGATTTATCGTTACAGTATAACTTAAGTGGTCTTTTAATTCCTCCAACAATTTGCAGCCCAGTGACAAATTTTATCAACCAAATCTAATGATTTTCAACTGGTCTGACCCTTTATATATGAGCATATATTCTTTTGTTCTCTTTAAATACCTCATGACCCTTTTGACTGATTTCCAATGAACCATTCCTGAATTGCTCAAATATTTGCATAACATCCCAACTAGGATGCAATATCTAGACGCGTACATACATGGGCATACATCAAACTCCGTACAACTAACGCATAAGGAGTCTTTTGTATTTCTTGAATTTCTAAATTTTGTTTTGGGAATTTATTGAGACTAATTTTTTTCCCTTAGAAACTGGAGTACCTATGGTTTACAGTCCTTCATGTCAAACCTTTTAAGCACCTTACCGATATAGCTCTCTGTGACAAGCCTATAATACCTCAATATCAATATCGGTGTATCTGAGTTTCTAATACAAAGAAGGTGTTATCAAGATCTTTCATTTCAAATTTTTTTGATATTAATTTCTTACTTTCATGCATCATGCTTATATCATTAGTGGCAAGCAGTATGTCATTAACATACATGACTAAGAATATGTACTTGCTCCTGCTGAATTTGTGATTCACATAATCCTCAACAAGATTCACCTCATAACCAAATAATATAATTACTTCATGAAATTTATGGTACCACTGACAAGACGTCTGTTTTAGTCCATAAATGAATTTTATCAACTTGCAAATCATATTCTTTGAGTCTCCTGACACAAAGTTTTCTGATTGCATACACATAGATTCCTCCATCAATGTTGCCATTGAGAAAATCTGTCTTGACATTCACTTGATGGAGTCCCAAATCATAATGTGCAACAAGAGCCATGTTTATCCTAAAATAGTCTTTCAATGAAACCGGAGAGGAAGTCTATTTAAAGTCAATTCTCTCCTTTTAGGTATAACCCTTAGCCACAAGACCAACCTTATATCTCTTCACATTATCGTTACAATCTCGCTTGGTCTTAAAAATTTACTTGCAACCAATGGGTTTCATACCTTGTGGTAACAAGACAAGTTCCCAAAACTTATTATCTTGCATGAATTTATACTCCTCTTTCATTACTTCAATCCACTTTTCCGAATTGGAATCCTACATGGCATGGATAAAGTTTATTGGATCAACTTCCATCATACCATTATTTTCCTCATGTTCTTGGAGAAAGACTATGTAATCATCTGGAATAACATTTCTTCTTTCTCTAGTGGATCTCCACAAAGGTATTAGTTCATGTAACACTTGCTCTTAAGGATATTTAGTTTGTTCTTCATGAATTACCAAACCATCTTGAGTAGGAGGAAATTCAATAACGTTTTGTGGAGGCTCCATACTTGCTTAATCAAAATCAACTCTATGAATCAGTTCTGAAATTGTTACCGATTCTTCCTCTAAAACAAAGTCTCTAACCTTATTCTTTTCCCCAAACTCAATATCCTCAAATAATGTGGTTATTCTTTTCTTAAAAATTGAGTTTAATTTGATATCATAAAATTTGTAGCTCCTAGATCTTTCATAATAACCAATAAAGTAAATGCTCACCATTCAGGAGTCCATTTTATTTTCAAATGGCCTATAAGGCCTCGCCTCAGCTGGACATCCCATATGTGAAAATGGCTCAAATTAGGCTTCCACCTATTCCTAAGCTCATAAAGTGTTTTGGCAACAACCTTGGTTGATACTCTATTAATAATGTAAGCTGGAGACTTTTGTGTCTCTCCCCATAGTGACTCTGGCAAGGTAGAATGACAAATCATACTCCTTACCATATCCTTAAGAGCCTAGTTTCGTATTTCACCAACACCGTTAATGCTAGGTGACCCTGTCATGGTATAATGTGGGATGATTCCATATTCCTCTACGTATTTTGCAAAAGTCCCTAGACGTTGTTCGGCTAAACCGTCATATCTTCTGTAATATTTGATGCCACGACCAGAGTTGACACTCATAATTCTTGTGTTAAGTTGATTCTCAACTTCAACATTACATGATTTGAAAACATCCAATGATTGAGACTTTTCATGTATATGAAATATGTATGCATATCTAAAATAATCGTCTATGAATGATATAAAATATTGTTGACCATTCTAACAAGATGCGGGAAATGGCTTACAAATATTTGTATGTATCAATTCTAAGACATGTGTAGCTCTATATGCACCAAATTTCGTTGTTTTGGTCTATTTACCTTTAATACATTCAACATAAACATCAAAGTTTATGAAGTTAACATAATCCATAATTCCATCTGACACTAGTCGCTTAACTCTATTTTTAAAGATGTGGCATAGACGTTTGTACCATAATGCTCATGAATTATTAATATCAATTATATATTAAAATGGAATTCGATTATACATGTTGGAAATGAATCAAGAATCAAGAAAAGTAAGTTCAAAAACATTGGGTGTTAATGAACACAAGAAATATCAAGTTTATAAATCTGTGAAAGAAATGGTTAACAAGAACAATAATGGTGCTGCTTGGGGAAATCAATTTTCATTTTTACATATTACAATTCCAGAATTAAATGATTCAAAATTTGAAAACCCACTTGAATTTATTTGGGAAGCTCATAAAGAAATTAGCAGGAAGAAAAATTCTTTGGTTACTCCTCTTGCAAGCATGCTCTTAAAAATGGTGAAAACTATCAGAGGCCTGAGGTTAGTAGTTATTCTTAATTAAATGTCATTAGTATTTTAATTAGTCTTGATAATATAATTAAGAAAAAAACTCATTTTATTTTTGTTAACAAAAATTTATATATAAATATGACACTCCAATCACTATTTTAAATAAAAATTGAGTTTTTAGATTCTTTGATAATTGATACCTATATAAAATTTATGTTTAATATTCTTTTTAATTAGTCTCGTATTTTAATCTCGAGTATATTTTGATCCTTTGACTTAAATTTTTTTTTTCATATTGATTATTCAACTTTTTAATGTGTATTAAATTAGTCATTTTCGTCTAATTATTGAAAGAAAAATTCAAAAAGCAATCACTAAATTCGTTAATACAAAGGAGGCATCATCAAGATCTTTCATTTTCAATTCCTTTGAGACAAGCCTAGAATAACCAAAGATCGATCTCGGTGTATCTGAATTTCTAATACAAAGGAGGCATCGTCAAGATCTTTCATTTTGAATTTTCTTGATAGAAATTTATTACTTTCATGCATCATGCCTATATCATTAGTGGCAAGTAGTATGT